GAGATAGGACTATTCTTCTAGATCTGAAAGTATAATCCAATTAGAGCGAAGAAAATTTCCAATAGTTGCAAGACGGTTTTGACTCACGTCTTGCCTATCTGCAAAAATTCTGTCGGTGACAGTTAGACAGCAAAATAAGTAAAAATGGCGGTTACCATGGATTCTGTAAGAGAAAAAGGGCTTCAAGATTACCGAAAGAAGCTCTTGGAACATAAAGAAGTTGAGTCACGTCTCAAGGAAAGTAAGATATTTTCGTAAATATTATAAATTTTATATAATAAAATTTCATTTGCAAAGTACATATCTCGGAGGCTCATAACCTCTCACATCTCTCTTGTCAAGTTTTCTTTTGTCTATATTTTATTCGTAGATACGTTTTTCTTGTGATATTATTGTACTGATATATTTTTTGAACTTTTTATTTTATGTCTTACAATTAATTTATTTTAAAAACCATAAAATGTACGTACTTTTTAGTGAGAGAACACCTCAAGGATCTGACAAAGCAATATGACAAGTCTGAAAATGATCTAAAGGCGTTACAAAGTGTTGGACAAGTATGTTGTCGAAATGTTGTAACTTAATTTACCTTTATGTTCTATATTTTACGATCTTTATCTTATAGATTGTTGGAGAAGTATTGAAACAACTTACAGAAGAAAAGTGTAAGTAATCAATTTATATTGACTAATATATGTCTGCATCTCTATCTATATTTAATTTTAAAGATGGCTAAAAATTTCAAATTTTATTACAGTGGTGCTGTTTATATTTTGTAAGAACAATGAGATATACATTTAACATAATAAATATTTATTGTATAGTTATAGTGAAAGCAACAAATGGTCCACGTTATGTTGTTGGATGTCGACGTCAATTGGACAAAAATAAATTAAAATCTGGAACTAGAGTTGCTTTAGATATGACAACTCTTACGATCATGCGTTATTTACCACGTGAGGTAAAAAAAACTCACTAATTTATCTTTAGAAAGATTAGTTTCTAATTCTTCAAAAATTTATTCATATTGCTTTTTAGGTTGATCCATTAGTTTATAACATGTCTCATGAAGATCCTGGTCATGTGACTTATTCTGCAATCGGTGGTTTGAGTGAACAAATACGCGAATTGCGTGAAGTTATAGAATTGCCATTATTAAATCCTGAACTTTTTCAAAGAGTTGGAATTACTCCTCCTAAAGGATGCTTGTTATACGGTCCTCCAGGTACTGGAAAAACATTATTGGCAAGAGCTGTTGCCAGTCAGTTAGATGCAAATTTTTTGAAAGTTGTTTCGAGCGCTATTGTTGATAAATATATTGGAGAATCGGCTAGACTGATTAGAGAGATGTTCAATTACGCTCGTGACCATCAACCTTGTATTATATTCATGGACGAAATTGATGCTATTGGTGAGTATACGATATTTTTAATTTAAAGAAATATCTAGATTAAGAGAGAAAATTATAGGTTAAATATTAATAAAATTAATATTTATTTTTGCATATATATAGGTGGCCGCAGATTTTCGGAAGGGACAAGTGCTGATCGAGAAATTCAGCGAACTTTGATGGAGTTGTTGAATCAAATGGATGGATTTGATTCTTTGGGCCAAGTTAAAATGATAATGGCTACAAATAGACCTGATACATTAGATCCTGCATTATTACGACCAGGAAGATTGGATAGAAAGATTGAAATACCGCTTCCTAATGAACAAGCTCGTTTAGAGATTTTAAAGATACACGCTTTGCCAATTGCCAAACATGGTGAAATCGGTAAGAAACTAATTCATTCTTAATGTTTCAAATATTTTAAATATTTTGTTTTATAATATTATATAAATATACATGCAAATATAGATTATGAAGCTGTGGTTAAACTCTCTGATGGATTCAATGGTGCTGACTTAAGAAATGTGTGCACAGAAGCTGGCTTGTTTGCAATACGATTAGAAAGAGAATATGTAATACAAGAAGATTTTATGAAAGCTGTCAGAAAAGTTTCTGATAATAAGAAACTTGAATCGAAACTAGATTATAAACCTGTGTAATTCGATGTACAATATTATCATTTTATATTTCAAAAATAATATTAGATGTCTATTAATTTTATATGACCCCAAGTGGATCATTCAATATTGTCTTACTAAAATTATTTTAATTTTCTATAATGAAATTATATTTGTGTAGAAGAGAGTTTATTCAGCATTAACATATTAGCAAATTTGTATGATATAATTAATAACATTGATATAATCTAAAATGATTGATGTAAAATAAATATAAAAACCTTTATTTTTCTTTCTGATTTTGCTAGATTGTTGCGAATATTTATTTGCATATTTTACAAAATACTAAATATCGTATTTATAACATTTGTAAGAATTATAATCTACTTTGTATTGCCTGCAAGACGCATTTTTTTCTTTTTTTGATATTCCTTCACATTGTCATATGTTTTTTTATATAAAACGGAAATCGAGTTTTGTTCAACAATAGTATTGTTTAAAATTTGCCAGGAGGCATTGAGACGTTTAATTGTAGAATTCAGAGCATCGTAAGTTACAAACCTATCGTTATCAAATTTGAATACTCGCAGTCCTACATCTGTTAATACCCACAAATCTTGTTTGTATAAAAGACATTCGATAGGTTCAGTTTCTACGGTTATAGACTCCAAATAATTTGCTTTTAACTGTGTATTATTGTCGCCACTAATCTTATAAACTAATAGTATTTTGCTACTATAAAAACTTATTATAATTAAAGATTCTATTTTACTAAAATAATATACTCTGAGATACTTGACAGGCAGTATATCTACATATTCATCATGATCGAGGTCTTGATTAAATCTTTCTATGTCGCATTTCGATATCTTATCGTAAAAATTGACAGACAGTAGTTCACTACCATATTTATAGTCCCATAATTTGAAGACTCCATCACCACCGCACGATATTAGGACGCTCTTCTCATGAGGCAACTCTGAGATATTCGTCACGAATTTTTTATGTCCCAAGCAGTAAGATACAATGTTGTAACAGTTGGGAAACATGGAAACTCTTATTTTTTCTTCTCTATCAGCTGTTAGAACGTATTTCATATCTTGCGTGACAAGTACATCGAGAAGCATTGACAAGTGTCCCAAGATTAAGGTTCCAGCTTCCGTTGGACAACTGGTAGAAAACAGGTAAGCATCTCCAGCCCTATCTGCTATCACGATATCGTTGTTCGGTGAGAATCTCATTCTGCTTGCAGCCCTGCTGAGCGTTCGATTCGATAGAAGCTTGAAGTCTTTTGTTTCATACAAGCACAGTTGCCTGCCATTTGTGCATACCGCAAAATATTTCCCATCTTCTGAAAACGCCAGAGACGTTATCATGTGACAATCCTCGATATCCTTCTTGTTGTGCTCTGTCTTCTTCTTCTCCAGATCGGGCAAAATTATCGTCTTTTCGGTGTTATTGTCAATATTGTGCATTATCACACGTTCATTGTTACATAGAGCAACGTACGACTCGTACACAGAAAAGCTCATTGTTGTAACGTTCGTGAAAGCTTTTAAAATAATATTGTTGTTCGCAATGAACGAATGCAATCTTTAACAACGTACGTGCATCAATGAAACGATGCAACACGTTTACTTTACAACCTAACCTAATTTTTGCGTAGATGACGCGGTACAGTGATGAGATCGAGCACATTCAGCAGACACGACAGTTGAAATAAAACTTCGCTACTATTAGTGCATTTTTCTAGATATAAAGATCTGATTGGATAACCTAGAAAAATACACCAAACAGTGAATCAGCTCAACTGTTGAATTCGCTGAATCGCTGAATGCGCCTAATAGATCCGTCCAACAAAATGTCTGTTATGTAGTTTTCTACGCGCTGATTAGGCTATATTTTTCTATTTAGAGCTACATAAGGTTGATATTACGTTTGTCCAGGGATAACTAGTTAAAACGTTGACAGTTTTAAAAAACAATTAAAAAGTTAGTAACTTTTAACTTAACTTAGTTAATTTTAAATGCATTAATTTTTAACTTAATTTAGTTATTTTTAAACTTTAATTTATTAACTTTTTTTAAATTAAAAATTGCTTTACTTCTCTTAATATTAATATTTTTTTTCTATAAAGTCTTAAACATTAGAGAATTAATTTAGAAAAAGTACGATAATTTTATGATTGAGAGACTCTATAATAAGAGTCACATCATACGGTAGCCAGTTTTTATTGATTCGTTAGGTTTTGTCAATTCCCGCTTATATTTGAATAACACTAATTTTAAGTATCATAAATGTTATATTTCAGCAACATAAATATGAAATGAGCCTTAGATGAAGAATTATTGTAGAACAGTACTGCACATCCACCCATTTCCTAAATTTTTACGTTTTTCTTTGTAACAAATATCTAATCGATGTAGTTGTAATGCATGAGCAATCGTTTTAGAAGTTAAAACAAGTTAGATAAAGATTAAAGAAAGAGAAATAATGTAAACATATATCCTTCTCTCTTGCAAGATTCTACAAAAATACCTTATAATGTGACTCTTAATATATATAAATAACGTTAGAAATCGTGTAATTTTTATCGCTCTCGCTATTCCTTCGCATTGTGTCTGGAGCTTTAAAGCATAATCTACAATAAATTGCCAATACACCGTTGCCAATCGCAATGCTTCACGACGACCAATTAGAAGCATCACTAATTTACTATTGACGCTTCCGATTGGCTGTCGCCAAGCATTGCGACTGGCGACGAAGCGTTCGCGACTTATTGTAGACTACGCTTAAGGCCACTTTAACCAACTCCAATTAACTTTAATCACGATGAGTCCATTTAAATTAACCAATCGTATTTGTCAACGATAGATGCTCACTGCGTGAGTCAATCCTGCAAAATTAGTATTCTACCGTTGCATTTTTGAACGATAATAAATTCCAATAATCAATCATTAATGGTTAGTCAAGTGTTGACATCAAGTCAAGTCAACCGGACGTATAGGTATCGAAAGGAAAGCCGGTTTCCGCCAACATTTTTATCGCGCGATCCGGTTCGATTGAATTCAGTTTCGACCGAGAAACCGTTTGACGATTATTCCGCCGCGCTTACGTCTTCGTGAGTTTTCGAACGCACGATTTTATTCGGTTCCTCCGGCTAGTCCGGTCGGACTACGCACACGAGTGCGCGGAACGGTGTACAATAAAATCGCGTCTTGTTTGCGACCCGTCCGGGAGTTCGTAGTGTCGACGGGTTACAGCTAACAGCTGGACCGATCTCCACATTTCGTTCTTCTTCAACGTCACGCCGAACATGATAGAAATTATCCGACGGGCGACGGCACGCCGGACTATTCCGTAGACGATCCCAGGCTATAAATATCGAGATAAACGGCGCGACGGGGATTTAAATTTGGATCGTATCGAACGGCACAACCGGCCGGAGGGGTAGGACGAGGACTATTTTAAAACGATTGGAAGACGGTTTTATGTCGGTTTCGGTACGACAAGTATCCGACGCGTTTGCGATTGACGTCAACGAGATTCTCTTCGTATAGTCCGTCTTCGTGGTAACTGCCGTTAATATGGGGATAATACTGTCCAGATTTCAAGTGAGTATCGTAACGTGTCGAGATCTCTTTCTGTGACATTTCGTTGAGGTTAACACCAATCATATATGTACGGCGTTCCGCATTTATCTATCTGTGGTTAAACGAACTCGTCGAGCAACATTTCTAAATGTCATTCATGTCCTATTTATAGCCGTGAATCCGTTTGGATGACGACAGATTCGTAATCGCGTAGATTGCGTTAACCTTGGGGCGAAGCAATAACTTTGGGTTCTTTTTTCTAAACATAGCGAGACGCAAGACGGCGCGTAACTAGTATGATTACGTTTTTCTTTATCTGACATCTTTTTTAAACTGCCGCGTGTATACGAGTCCTTGGATTCGTCGTGATCGGGGAAAACGATTTTCCCGATGCCCACCATTGTCATGAGTAAACAAAAACGGTCGATAAATTTATTCCGCAGGGATATTGCGAGACCCAAACATTAACATTCAATGACGAACTTTGTTCTAATTTACACGCGTCATTATTGCGAAGGAATTATATTATGAATGCATGAACGATATGCATTGTTACTTTGTAAATTGAAGTCGAATTATCTTTTAGTATTTATTTAATTAGCTATTTAATTTATTTTTATCTTTTTAATCATACGAATATCTGTACAAAGCCTACTCCAAAAATATATAATACAAAGAAAATGTATTTTACAAATCTTATTTTTTCCTATCGTATTTTTTCAATACTCAATTTAATATTTTACAGAAAAACTATAAAAATATTGAATACTTTAGAAAAAATTTATGCTACAGTTTTATTTTTTTTCAAGAGAAATTACTCTTTATTGATCATGATTTTCGTTAAGCGTCTTTTTTTTATATAAAGAAATATATTTATATATTTAATAAGGTATACACATATATAATTATAATGTAAAATATATATATATATAATGTAATATATTTTTTCAGAAAAAAAAGACAACCATTGAAATTTTGGAGGGTCTAGATGCAGTGAGTATTATTTTATTGTTACTGCATGACATATATTATAAAATGACATTACGTAACTTCCTGTTTTAACAGCAAATCAAAGACATCCAACAGTATGGACAGACTACGGAACAAAGACACAAAAAAATAGTAGGAACTATCATCATTTATGGAGTTGTCCTTTATGTTATGATAGCATTCATCTTTTACTTTTGTTTCTTCCCAGCGTCATTATACGATCAGATCTTTTATATAACACCATTACTATTTTTTCCAATTTTGTAAGTATGCAAATATGAGAAACTTGTTGATTATAATCGTACAATATATGGATCTTTTTAACTAGGAAATGTGATCAAATATATTTTCCTTTCAGAATACTTTTAACAAAGAAAATGGTTTCATGGTATTATAATCGTAAAATTACTCTTAACCAAGAAAAATTGTCTACTGCCATGGCAGAAAAAAAGAAGATATTAAACGAAGTTACCGAAACGGAGACGTATAAGAAAGCTAAAGAAATATTATTAAAATTTGCACCAGACGAATTAACCAATAACATGTCACCTGTAAGTACATTTATGTTGATCTTGTATTTAAATATTACATTTAAATAAATATTATTTAAATATTTAGTTATAGATAATGCTACATAAATAAAGAAAACTAAAATTATATAATTTCTATTGTCTTATTTTACACTAATTTTTTTATAAATTTGATTTTACATTCATTAGATTTTATTTCTTTCTTTACAGTTAACTCCGAAGGTTTGTACTTCGAAACGCATAATACTTACGAGTATATATAAAAGTATATAAGAATAAAATGAAATGGTAGCAAAACTAGAGAAAATGAAACACAAGTTATATTATTAAAAGATTCTTTGTGAAAACATTCAAATTAATAATTTTGTTTATAGCTTATTTCCCATAGGATGTACGTACCATCTGAAACACCTCGGCGTCCTACGCCAGAGGCTGTAATATCTCCTCTAAATAGTGACTTAAGAAGAAGAATTGTAACAATTCAAAATCAGCCACAAAATACACAGATGGGTGTATCTGCTTCTGGTCAAACGACACCTCCCATTAGATCGATTAATCAACCTTTAAATGCTTCTTTCCAGTCTAGAATAATTAATCCTGCAACCATGAGTTTTCGTAAGTAAAAATATAATATATGATGATTTGCAAAAATATTGTACTTATACGTATTTTGAAGTATGTCACATAAATTCATTAATTATATAAAAATAATTAACGACTGCATATATGACTTTAGGATCACCATTACCACGACCTGTATTGCCGCAACAAAGAACAGTCATTGATCGTTTGGTTGACTATTTAGTAGGTGATGGTCCTGCAAATCGTTATGCTTTAATTTGTCGGCAATGTGAATCGCACAATGGAATGGCTCTGAAAGAAGAGTTCGAATATTTCGGTAAGATGTTCATTTTTTAAAAAGAGTTTTCCCTTAAAATATATTTTAATAGATGATATAAATATACATATACTTTTGCAGCGTACAGATGTTGTTACTGTGGTTTCTGGAATCCTGCAAGAAAACAAAAGCCTTCTGCTCCAAAATTAGATTTTGATAATCCTGCTACAACTTTGAGTGCAGAATCCGAAGCTAGTTTACCTCATAATACAGACGAAGAGACAATAAAACTTACTGACAATGAGCTGGAAACATGTACACATTCAGATACAGGTATATAATTTCTATTATTTTTATTATTTATGTTGATTTCTCGAGTAATTTAATTTAATTTTATTGCCAATATTTTTTATCTCTAGTGTGAATAATACATATGAATGCTAGAATAATTATCGGTATTTATACAATTTTGTATTTTATAGATTCAGATATTGAAGTAGTTGAAAGACCAGGCGAAACAGCTGACTCTCCTGAATCCGAAACCAAGGAATTATTAAAGGAGAAAAAATCCGAGGAGAATGAAGTACAGTCTGATGAAATTCAATCGTAGCACTCATAACTTTTCTATTCTAAAAAAATAACTAGCCTGAAGGCGAAAAAGGATATTTGTAAATTAGAATTTCAAGTAAGTTTAAAATTTGATAAAAGTGAAAAAATATAAATAAACAAGAATGGTAACGTCAATGAATAAAATAAAATAAATTAGATAAAATATGTTGACTTTCTTAACGTGAAAGCTGGAAATGTAAAATATCTTTTTAGATTATAGATGTAATCGACAATTGAAACGTTGCTATTTAATGGAAATTGTTGCTCTAACTTAGAAGTAACAAATATTATATATAATTGTTGATTATACTTAATATGAAATCAATAGACTTTTCTTATCTAAGTTTGATTATATAGTATTTGCGAAACAAGTTGTAAAAAAATGTATGAGGATTCTATACTTGATGATCATGAAAGATTATTATCATTCCAAATTTTTATTTAATCTAGCATTAGTGCGATTACCGAATGCAAAAGGCTGAAATAAGAGCAACAAATCATTAATCTAATTGTTTTTAAATACCTCGTAGATTTCATACAAATATTTATATATACATAACAATATTTATATGAAATTGCGTTTCATTTTTAGTTTTTGAGGCACAATTTAATCAAATGCAACAAAATACTTGAACGCATTGCATGCATGCGAAAAGTTCATGTTGCATATCAATTAATAATGTATTTTTTATAAGACTGCCTATCTTATCTGCAGTGGCAGATCATTATTTATATTAGGCCACAAATTTTTTTGAGAAGCTACACTGATCTTTCCTTCGTACATTTTAAGCTGAACCAACCATGCCTTTCATCTGAATATTGCTATACTTAGTTTCATATATTGCTTTATTAAATAAAAAAATAAATTACATTCTAGCGTATTAAAATTTAACTATTAATTTAGATGTAAGGCTATTACGAAACATAAATTTTGTTATGTAAATGCGTCGTCTTTCGAAAAGTATGAACGAAAAAAATGCATTTTGTAGCAGCACTATCTTTTTCATGGAAAATTATTTAACACTCAGATAGCTTCTTTAGATTAAATAGTATCATTATAATAGAAATTTGAGAATGCGCTCTACATTATATTACTTATGATTACACTCTACTGTGATTCTAGATAGGCTAATAAAACTTAAGATTATTGTATCAGCTCGAATTCGACCTTAACATAATCGTAAATTGTAAAAACTATTGTATTTTTTTGCTTCCTAAATAAGGAATTGTATTGTTATTTTAGTATGGTAAATTTATATGTGGAAAAGATACTTGAGCAATTTGGAAAATTCTTGGTATAATACAATTTTAGACAGAATTTAACTAGTTTTATTTTTTCACCTTGGTATATATCATGAAATTATTCGGAATGAAATCCAATTGGAATTATTCTGTTTTGTTTTTCTAGAAAACACAATAAAAATCTAGATAATTATTGAGTAATTCGATAGTGGAGTTCATTCCAAATAATTTCATAATACTTATCTTTATTCGATTATTCTGCCGATAATAATAGCAACAATGCCGATAATGCAATTTTTTTATTTATTCGAGTGTTAATATTAATTCATTCTAGTATTAATATTAATTTATTATTTACATTTCAATCATTTTGATCTCTCGTCTGTAGGACATGTTGAAACTCCTGTGTTTTATGTCATTGTATTCGTTATAGCGCATGCGCGAGAAATTCAATGCGGTTTTCAAAGAGTGTTTACCATACCTGTAATTCGATTCACGCTTACGACATTTAAAACTCATTGGCTGCGTTCAATAGAAAAAGCAGCTTTGCAAAAATAACATTTTTTAATATGATTATAAAAATTTTTATTTTTGTTTTCGCGTTAAGGAAAAAGTTACATGGGGAGTTTTCCAGTAGAAGCACATATCTTTATTTCTTTGATTATTGATCAAGGCTAGAATGATTCTTGTGTCAATCTGTGTCTCTGAGGGGTTCCGCACAATAAAAGGAACAGGGAACAAAGAACAGAGAATTTCAACCTATCAGAAATCATGTATTCTGGAATATACACAGTTTCTGATAGGTTGAAATTCTTATTCTCTGTTCTCTGTTCCTTTTATTGTGCGGAGTCCCTTACTGATTTCTTGAACGGACGCATATGGTGGATTTAAGCAATAAAAAATTGTTACCTCATTAACTTAATGCTTTCTCCACACAGAACGCGGCACTGTTTGCCGCGTGGTGAAAATTAACGTAGTAGTAACCAATCAATTTATCGCTTTTCCATAGGAACGAAAGAATGATTGGTTAGCGTGGCAACTTCTGTTGCGCTGCAAGCGTTGTTCTGTGTGCAGGAGCCATTATTATTATAGGAACATTACAACTTCACGTTGTACCTCGTCTAGATATTTCCATGATACATGGCTTCGTAAGCTGGTAAGCATGTAAATCGGCCTTAATTTATAGGCTTCAATTTCTACGTGAAAATAGTGTCCGTCTTATTCGTTCGTTCATTCGATCGGCGAATTACCGTGCAAGGTAAATCTAACGATTTTTTCGGCATCATCGTATAATTCGTTAAGAGACATACATATATCACAAGATCGAATGTCCTCCTTAATATTTGTGCTAATAGTATCGTGTGATATGTCTTATCGTCAATGATTTTAATGCGAGCGCTTAACGGGTTCCAAGGCTTCTAGCCATTGAGGCTTGTTTCCGACAATTTTTACTACATTATGTGGCCACATATAATGACGTGAAACTTCGTGACAAAACGTTCCGATTAAGATTTAACAGTGACGAGACGTGTCGTAATTATAATATACCGTAGCGAATCACGATATTAGGTAAAAATCACACAAAATCAAAATAAATTGCTCTTAGTGAATTGTTTCTCAGGCTTTTTTGGCGGACGCCATAATGTCCATTCATGATGATATTCGTGCGGGACTCGAGATTTCGCGCCAATGATCGCCGATGGCTGTTCGTCCGTCGATACTGTACGATTGACTCTTCATCGCGTACTTAATATCGAAAATATAGTTATCTCACTTCAACATTTCGTGCTAATCTATTTTGTTGAAAATTATCTGACCACTTATTAGATACACTTTAGGTGGGGTCATGCTCTATCCGACTTTAGCACGTGGTAGCTTCTCATTTTTTCATTTTATTTTTTTTTTGTAGAGATTTTACTTTTTTACATGGAGAATAAGATTTATATATGATGTATTTTTTTACAGATCAGTAAACATGCCAGAATTAACGGAACTTGACAAGGCGGCGAGCTCGGAGCCGACAAAGGTGGAGTTGGTAGGTATCGGTTCTGCAACTGATTCTGACTCAGACGATACTATACCGGAATTAGAAGATGCTGGCACTCCGGGTACCGTCGGTTTTCCTGGTACAACAGTCACTGGACTTCCTATTGATATGGTGTCCAAGGCCAAGCAAAGCCGTGGAGAAAAAAAAGCTAGGAAGCTCATGAGCAAATTAGGATTGAAGCCGGTAAACTTAAATGTTTTAATATTCTAATAAATTTATTTTTTTTAAATAAATTTATTATCTGAAATGTATTACAATCTCATACTCTTTCAAAACTTAACTTTTCAATTAATCTTTTATAAACTGAAACATATATGGGAGAGATGGGAGAATTGGGATTGAACTTATCGATTATGAATTTACTACAGATATTATTTCTATACATTGAGTTACATATGTCATCTCTCAAAATTTATTTTGTATTTAAGACAATGTTGCTTTGCTTTTTATATTCAGGTTCAAGGAGTCAATAGAGTAACTATTCGTAAATCAAAGAATATTCTGTTCGTTATAAACAAGCCAGATGTTTTGAAGAATCCAGCTTCAGATACTTATATAGTATTTGGTGAAGCCAAGGTAATGAAGTAACTCTGATTGTGTAATATATAATAAGTAGATCACATTTATTGAATTCCTTATTTTATGATGATTACTGAGGTTTCGTAAACTAACAGAAATTATTTGTTGAAAATACCTTGGCAGACTGATATTTGATAATTATTTATTATTACATAAATATTAATTAATATATATTTTTAATATATATATTTTATGTATTAAAACGTTATTTTTA